ATTTTTGCGAATTTCTCGGAAACCAATGGAGCTACTAAATTAGTTTTAGTGGCGTTGAAGAACACCTAAAAGACACCTAATTCCAGCATATATCTGGAAAATTTAAAACCTAAATTTAACGATGGGTCAGCTAGGTTTACGTAAACCTAGCTGACCCACACATTTTTGGGAATTTCTCGGAAACCAAAGGAACACCTAAATTAATTTTGGAGGCCCTAATTAACACCTAAAAGACACCTAATTCCTAGCTAATTTTTATTGATTTTTGGCGACTTGGGTCAGCTAGGTTTATGGACGTCAGATTGCGATGAATATTGAGAAAAGCGTGCCCATTGTGTGCTCGTAATCTGTCCATTGCTGAACATGCATGATTATATTCATTGAATTATTTTGCAAAACTATAACTAAACAGGAGAGCGAAGGGTATTATAGACCACAAAAGGTAAAATTTCTGTAGAAAAACCGGAAATCTGAATTTTTGCTCATTTTTAATGGATAAGACAGCCCAACAAAATAGAAAAAATTTTTGGAATGGTAAACGTTAAAGCTGTTTTTGATAAACTTTTTTGTTCTGATTACGAATCCGTAACCCTAAAGTTTCCATCAGCTTCAGATTTTGCAAAAAAAAAACGAGGTCAAAGTGTCAAAAATCGCGTTTTTTGCAATATTTTAGAAGCTCTAGCAAAGAAACAAAACGAGGGCTTACATTCAATACCTTCTATCTGAAATTTTCAAAAAAATTACTTTGTGACGTTAAAACCGATCTGACATCTATCCGACGATTCCAACATTCATAATTCGCTCTCTAAGTATTTCGCCAAGTAATTCGTGAATTACCCTGTTTCCACGGCTCATTCGTAATTCGTTTTATTTTTATTTACTGCGAATATCGAAGATGGAAAAAAATGTAAGTTATCATCAAACATTTTAATATAGAGACAACATTTTATTAATCACTATTTTATTAATTACGGCAATAATTCTTCTTTGTTTATTATTATTTTGTTTTGACTGTCAAATTTCGATATATTTCCGATAAATATTAGAGAAGGCACCAATTCGTTCATATTATCAGAAAATGTCTTGTCGCTCTGTTTGTCGCGTCACTATGTTCTTTGCCTTAGGTGGATTTTTATATCAGAATCACATTTTTGGTGAAAAGTGCAGGTAGAGATCATTGAATATTTACTGGCTTTAACTAAAGCTAGAACTCTCGACTACTATCTCTGAAAAGAGATCTTAAATATTTGAATTCTTAAAATATTTTTTACTATTATTATCTTTAACTAAATAATGGCAAATTTTTATGTATATTTCCCTGCAGGTGGCGGGTTTGAATCCCCAAAATCTCCCCTTACGGCCGGACCTGTATGGTCTTATATAACATTTATAATGCTCCCGAATTCGAAACTTCATGTGGAGACTGAAAGAAAATGATTTTTTTTAATCGCAAAAAGCAAAAGAAATGAAAATGGGAGCCCAGTTGTATTTTTTCTTGTATATGTAGCTAGTGTGGCGACGGTTGCCATTCGCACGAATCTAATCCTTCGGTTATGATATTGCGAATCCCTGAACGAACGACACCAGATCACAAGTAAATTTTTTGATGTAGACAAATGTAAACATAAATGCTCAGAATGAAAATAGAAATCGATTAAGCCATGTCCGTCCGTTCGTCCGTCTGTCCGTCTGTCTGTCCGTGTACCCGATAACTCGAGCAAAAATTGTGATATTCCAACGAAATCTGGTAAGTAGGTTGCCCTTTATCCAAGGTAGGTTGGGATTGAAAATGGGAAAAATCGGGCTACAACCATGCCCACCTCACATATAACGGTATTTTCGAAATATGCAAAAACTAAGATATTTCCGCAAATACTGGATCCAATTTGATGAAAGTTGGTATTTGAAGTAGAATTTCGGCAAAAAAGACGATTTTTTTTTAAATGGTGATGAAATGCTGTACCAATCCCCACCCAACTCGGTGCGTACATTGCTTAGGGCCTCATTAAGAAACCCTTTGAAAATTTTTAAAATCAGACAAGAACCACGCCCACCTCCCATATAACGATAATTTACAGAAATACGAAAACTGCGATAAATTAGTAACTATTTAAGCTAAATTACTCAAAAACGATATATGCAATGACCCCTTAGCAGAAAATGATATTTAGGGAAATTTTTTGAAAATGGGCGTGGCACCGCCCACTTATGACTACATAAGTATATATCGATAACCGCCTTACCGATTTCCACCAAATTTGGTCCAATTATTTCAATATATCATAAATAAATAAATAAATATTATTGAAACTGTTTGACATCGGCAAAAATACTCTTCCTTATCATGCAGTTTACTGAATGGTGAAAAAACGATATTTAATACATGCGCCGGATATACAATGTTCGATTTCGCCCAAACTTAAATAGA